TACTCTTTAGGGCTTAGAGTTGGGTGATCTGATGATGCCTCAGCCCCTGGGGTAAAGCTATTCTATTCTTCTCCCTCTTTGTAAAACCAGAATAAATGAATGCATGGGTCATGGTCAATTTAATGATTGACCATCTTATTCTACGGGTAAACAAGAAGGGGCTTAATATTATGGGAGGATGTTTCTGGTTTATTTTGCTGAAGATCATGTAGAACTCTTGTGTAGTCTTTTTATTTTATCCTTTAGAATGAAAAAACGGGATTGTTACTGATAAGGGCAACTTTTGGACATTAATATCAATAATAATAATAATAATAATAATAATATTTTTAGCATAATTATTAAAATGAATTAATACTTTTTAAAAAAAATATTAAATAGGGGCAAACCATGAAACAAATCTCCCTCGAGATTAATAAATATTGATCATAGATCTCTACTTTTTTTATTCACTCTTATAATTACTAGTTTGCTACAAGCAAAAATGACAAAGCCAACTCTTACATTTTTGCATTTCCTTGTATATCTCGTTTCTCCACTTAACAAATTCATAAATATCTTCCAATCCCGATTTCCAGACTTTAATAGCGTACAAAACTGCTTGAGATACTTGGGCTTAATATTTAAGATAGAAGGCTATCTACAGAATGAATGACAGGTCACAAGCTCAAGCTCAGTGTAAGGTGTAAGGATGTCTTAATTTCTGAACAGTAAAAGGCTTTAATCCATGGACAGGGATTCATCTTCAATTTTGTTTTCTCTCGTTCTAACTTGTAAGCCCCAATAGGCCATGTAATATGGATCGTCTCGAGTGGTCCAAGTGGACCCAACCCAACTGTAGGATGGTTCAATACAAGGACATGGCGAGCAATCAGAGCAGAGAGGGCGACAGAGCCTCAGAGCAGGGCATCGGGATGGATAAATCCGACACGTTATCGTTATTTGTCTTTTTCCCCTGTTCAGTGTGAGTTTTATTAATGAATACACCAACCATCTCCATCGTTATCAGTGGAAGCTTATGGTTTACTGAAAACTGATACATCGAACGTCAGCTCTGCTTGAATGTCAGAATGTATTAAAACTCGGAAATGGCCAATGGCGATGAGTGACCAACATTTTGTGTTGGTGCTGTTGCTGTAGACTCTAGACTCTAGACTGACAGTGATAAGTCATTTTGGTCTTCTGTTGTTCACATCCTCTGTCCTGGGTTTATCTGCGGTGTATGCGTTTGTTTTCCTATTAAACTCGGGAAAAAACCTAACCCAGTAACCTTTTCTTCCTGTTTAATCCAATTTCCACAACAAATTGCGTGGTTTTAGAGTGAATGCTGGAGATTATGAATTGATTTTGGATTATAAATCGACATCTTTTGCCCACTACTGCTTTAAACTCCAAATTTGCATGGATCAGAGAGGGAGAAATGATCTTGGGGAATGGGGATGTGCTGTTTGAAAATTGAGATTCCTTCTTTTCCCAAAGTGTATTCACAATTATAAAAGGCATATTTTAATTGTTGAAGGGAGAGGTAGACGAACACTTCATGAGAGAGAGAGCCTCCCTCTCAAGTTTTTCTTAGGTTTTTCTCTTAAGTTTTTTCAAGGTTTTGTTTTCTCTGTTCGTGGTTTGATGCTATTTGAGGTTCTCGCTCAAGTTCGTGTTCGCAGGCCAAGGCAGTCTTTGGTTTCCTCCTCTGTCAATTCATGGTTCCCCAGCAGTTGCTGTTGATGGTAAGTCTAGTTCGCGGTTATCTGGTTGATGCTGCTCATAGTGAGTTCCTGGTGATGACAGTCTTTTGGATTCCTCCTCTATTAGTTTCGTTCGTAGTCTGTGGTGGTTCGGTGGATTGGAGACGTGTTTATTTTCTTTTGTTGGTGATTTGTCCTCATCGTTTTCTCATTTGCAAAAGATCTTTAGATCCTCCTTCATCCATTGTCTTATTTTGTTCTCTTGAGAAATTGTTCCTGGGTTTTTTGATTGGCCTTATCGGCCTTTTTTGTATCAATTTCTTTATTGTGATGAAATATGATGCTTACGAGTGATTTCAAATCAGACAATTGGTTTTGGCCACCAAGTGGGTGTATCAGGGGTTGTTTGTGACAGTACTTTGTGGTGATACCACTACCCAAGGTTTTTAAAACCAAATCAAAGAATGAACTGGTCAGGGGTCTGGTTTCTGGGTCGAATAGTCTGAATGTTTGAATCGAACGAATGGCCCATTCTAACAAAAAAATATAAAATATAAAAAACGATCAAACTGTTGGACAGTTTGAATGATTCAACTGTCCGAGTCAACGATTTTCTAACAAAACAATGGTTTTTGGCAAAATAACGGTTCTAGGGTAAAACGGAACCGGTCACCTAACTAATTCTCGGTTTTTTGGTTCGACCATCCAATACGGTCCAGTTTTGAAAACCATGCCACTACCAATACAAAAAATTTTGGTCCATTATAGTTTATAGACGCCTTTCTCTCCCCCACTAATTCTACTCATCTCCACCAGAGCTAGTATCTTTTTAACTTAAGGGTTCGTTTGGAAGAACAAAGTTGATATATAAGATGTTCAGGTGCTTTGAAATGCTTCGGATAAGGATAACCAATCGAAAGAAGTTGAGGCGGACAATCCTTAAAATGACTGATAGAGTGAATGAGTGATGGATATCCAATTTGGGCTCTTCTAATTCTTTGCCAGACATAGCTTATAGGCTGTCCACCCTCATAAGCCATCAGTCGTTGCACTTCAGACCTCCCACTCCCATACGGGAACTAAATATATCTAAATTTAGGAATGTTTAAAGTTTTAACATTCATAATACATATTCACATATATAACTTTGAATTTTAAAATGCAATACCTGGCCATCACCTAGGCCTCATCATTGCTAGATGGTGTGATCCTTTCGGCTAATGTATTTAGGTTCCCTCAATCGGACTGAAAGGACCAGCCTTGGGGGTAATTAACAATGAAGAATTTCTTCTTTCAATTGTGAACAGACAACGAGTTGTCCACCACCTTCCCCTGTCGGCCTTGAAAATACCACAAGCCTTTCCCGTCAGGATGCTTCCTCAATGCTCATGGATGCTTCCCGACGGGTTGTCTACCACCTAGAATAAATCTTGGAGATAGGCCATCACCAACACCACCACAATCGTCATAACGGCATTGGAAGCGAGCTAATTAAGGGTGAGGTTATAATGATTCAGGATCTCAGAAATTAGGGGGGTGTAGGGGAAACCTCAATATGAAGTAAAGGTAATGCTCGTGGACACACACCTCCCCTTCAGGGGCGAGCCACGACCTGTCACCAATGCAAGGGACTCTAATCCTATAGTCCCCTAGAATGTAGTACTTCTCGGCCAAAGCCCTAACTTACTCCTTGTTGCGAATACTGTCTAGATCAGAGCGGGGATAACACCCTAGTGTCACACCTCGATGCTCAGCCTCGGCCTGCTCCTCGACGGTGGGTTCCTCAGCCTCTTCTGCACCCACCAATTCAGGGAGTGCAAAAACATTTCCCCGTGGCATCGGCCCTCAGCCACGTGAAACCAATACTCTCATTGGTAGTGTTCGCACTCTGCTGGTCGCGCTGGACCCCGCGAGACTCAACCCTCTCCTTCAATACTTGGACGCTAGACGTCCGAGAGGAGCTCTCGGAATCACTACTGTCGCTCCCATCACTACTAGAAGTGTTGTTAGGAGTACTCCAATCAAGAAGGTTGTAGGCTTCACAACCAGAGTCCAAGGACAACATGTAAAAGACTAAAGGTTCTTTACCTAAAGGTGTTAACAAAAGAGAGTCTAAGGAGTTGCTTGTGGAAAGCTGAGATGTCCTCAGTAGCTCCAAGACTCAAGGTTTCAAGCAAACGGTGAAGTCTCGCTTAGCCAGCCTCCCTATTTAAAGGAAAACATACGACCTAGATTCAATTGATCCAACGACTGCAAATCGATCGGCCTAACAACTCGAACCAATGGGCTCTACGTGGCACCAACCTCGGGAGACGAAACAACGCCAAGAGACGGGGCCGATTCGCCCGTCAACTCTAGCTCAAGGATGCGTCGAACCGGACCCCCCCCCCTCCTGTACCGTTTCGTGCATAGCCTCAACTAGTCAACCCCGATGTCCATCCTATATATAGACCTACGATAGATGATGTCAGCATCCGTGTGGGGCATAGGCGATGCACACAGGTAGCCTACATCCATCATCAACCACTACCAACCACAAGCACCTTCTTCCAACTACCCCTCTTCTAAGACAACTCTGGCTATAAAAGGAATTCCCACATTGATGTAAGAACACACAGACTTGAGCTCTAAATTTCTTGCTTAGTTCCACCCGTCATAGTCCTTGATTAATTTGGTAGTATATAATCTATCAATCATCACCTCTCCCATAATGAAAAGGGAAGAATCGAGGTCCAGAATGGTTCTTGTGAGTTGCAACATTGTTCAAAACCATGGCTCGGTGGTTCAGGGCACTTAGGCCCAGTATTATATTACAAGCTTTCTGAGTGCTGCAACTTTAATCTGTGTCCGCACATCACAGATCATATTCAAATGTGTTGGAAGGATTTACATTGGCAGGAGGTCCTGATTCCTGATTCATCCTTTTGTATCTAAAATTGAAAAATGTAAGTTTTAGGTTCCCCAATTACACGCTTAGTCGCCTAAGACCATTCCAGCTGATTCCAATTCAGATTCTAATTGCTGTCTGTAACAAATGGAAAGGAGGAATAGACCTTTCCAATTTTGATTCTGATGGATTTTAATTTTAATTCCAACCATAAACCAAACGGACCCTTGTATTATGATTGGGAAATTAATGTATAATATTTAGTAAAATACTCCATATAATAATTATGTTTTCAATCAAGAAATTATAGATGATATAAAATTTTGTCCAAAGCTTGCAGGAATTGTCAAGATAAGAGGCTGATTCTAAATCCATAACCGCCACATGTACACTTTTCCATTGAGCCAATTTAGGTGAATTGCTTTTCCTTTTAAATCTCCTGGTAAGGTATATAATCGGTGATTCAGAGCTAAAACAGTTGTACTTGCAACTTCAGACAATCCGTTCCACTCATGAATTAAGTTTTGGGCGAGAGTTAGAACTCACAACCAAAATATCAGGTGGGATAAAATACAAATAAATGGAACTGTAAAACTTTTTTCTACTTTCTTTCTTTTTTGGGTAAGAATAGAGCTAACCAACAAAGAATTTCAAATAAATGGATAACAAATGGAAATTACACAACACAGGTGGGAAACCACTCCTTTGGAGATCACCCCAAAATAAATCGAGCAACTGGAATCATTGCTGCCATGGACCATATTTAAAGATCTGACTATCAACCATCTCAAGCCTCAACAAGATTTAAAAAGAAAACCTGAAAAACCACCTCTAGTGAGAGTATCACTTCCCATTTCCTTTTCGGCGTTTTCCATCAGCAGAAACTGACTGCCTTCCACGCGGTGGGCCTGCACCATTGGATAGCTTCCGCGATGGCGAGGGACCAGGCATGGGTATTGAACTCCTACATACAACAAAAAGTTGGAAGGAAGAATGAGACAGATATTTAGCAGGAGTGAACCAAGATAACTAGTGCATCTTTTGCAAAAACTAAACAATGGTAAAGGTGGTGATTGTTTATTAGCTCCGAGAGTTAATCATGCCATTTCAATCACCTTGGTTCTGGGCTCTTTGCCAGCTTAGGAGATTTATTCATCTTTGACCCAGCATTGTTGATCATGCTGATTTTGGGAAGATTACTTTGCCAAAGCAAATCTGGTTCAGATGAGTAGTCACAAGCTGCAGCTTCCGGCTCATCAGAATCATCAGTTGTAGTTAGTCTATTACATGATTGTTCTGGGAATACTTTTGAATCTGGGGAGACTCTCTGGTGAAAAAGTTCAGGCAACTGTCCTAATGTATTTTCATTTTGATTTGCAGGTTCCTGTTTGCTAACCCAATCTTTATAACCTGCCTCTTTCTCATCATCTGTTGGGTAATTTGGTATAGGACTGTTGACAGCTTGCCAAGGAGCTGAATTACTTATGTCATGGAAATCAAAACTCGCCCTCTTTGATTTCATCACAAAGTTGTTCTGTACCTACACAAAACCAAAGCATTGGAGTTATAAGACTTGAACAGTAACTAATATGGGAATAATTTATAATGCAATCCTTAGTCAAGCCAAATTAACTAAGATAGGCACCAACAAGTTAGGGATGCATCAAATTGGATGATCCAAATTCGAATTCATAATATTCAGATTTGAATCAAATCTTATCCATTGGATTTGGAACACACTCGGATAAGATTTAGATATTGAATATACCATTTATAAATTAATATTATAACTATTGCTAAAATGAACTAAAAATAACTCTAATATGGTATTGTCACGAGTAAAATGATTCAAAAATAACTTGTGTTCAACTTCAGCTCTTGATGCAGTCAGGGTGGACCCATATTTGATCCAGTTATAAATGGATAGTATCTGCCTTCTCAAAATAAATAAACGGATAATATTATGGTTGCATTATTGTAATCGGATTCAAATTCAATTTTGAACAAACAAATACTGTTTGCAACCCTCTCACAAGCATGACATGAAATGGAGCATGTCAGATCTGAGTTCCACCTCTTTTTTACCGATAGCAGCAATGTAACTTTATTAATTGTGATTAAAGAATGTTATGTACAATAAGGATTGCATATGTTAGTGGGAAATTTAGTATAATTTCTCACATAACAAAATTCATCCAATTAGATTAATAATTGGCTCAATGATATTTAGGATATCATGTAGATATTCCTTTTAAGCTGTGTTTGGTTGCAGTGTAAATTTATTTGCACCAGCACAAATGCATGGGAGTGCAAATGTAAAAAAAATGCAAATTCTTGTTTAATTTTGTTTTGGATTTTACTTTACTCTGTTTCATGTCTTAATTTACTTTATTTGTACTGCAATCAAACAAAACAAGCTAAAATTTGAAACAAAAATAGGTCAGAATTTACACTCAAATCATTTGCACTGACATGGTTTTGCATCAGTGCAAATTTATTTGCATTGCAACCAAACACGGCCTTAATTACATTTTTGCTAGAGGCAAAGAATGTCTATTGATTACAGTTTGGAAGTGTAAATGAAGAAAATAAATTAAGTAAAACAAGGCTGTGAAAGGTTTTTTTCCCACACAAAGTTGTGATTTTATGAGTTAATATGGTATAAGGAACCATAATCAGCCAAGTTTCATTAACAAGGCTAAAGATGATTGCCTCCTTAAATATAATTAAATATGAGGCAAAGAGGAAAAGAAAAAATAGAAAAGAAAAAGAAAGGGTGGGAGAAGTAGAAGGAAAGGCCTAGTTCTCATCATAAAGGAGGCTGCAAAAATATCATAGTGAAGAAATGGAAGAGGAAACACTTCAACCCCCACTTTCCTCTTTCTCCTCTTGTTTGTCTCTTGTTGCTGGAAATTCTGTCAACAAAATAGTATAAGCTAATAGACCTCTCTCTTACAAGGAGAGGGATTTATATAGAAGCATGAGGTGGTTATGTAACTCTCCATCCCTCTCTTCTTAGGGAGCCATATGTCACCCAATTTAGAATGCCTTAAGGAGGGAAAAGAACCCTTTTTTCTTATGGTGACATGTGCCACCCCACTTAAAATGGTTTAAGGAGGGAAAAGAGCCCTCTTTTCTTAGGGTGTCATGTGTCACCTAACTTAAAATGGCTAAAGGAAAAGAATCATCTCTTCTTGGGGTGCCACCACACTTGAAATATCTGAAGGAGGGAAAAGAACCCTCTCTTTATGGTAGGAGAGGCAGCATCCCCTTTAAAGAAGTGGGACACCTCACAAGAGTAAGACTTTATTAAATAACACAAATTTAATTCTTTTAGAGTTTGCGACTCCTTTAAGCAGGCTGTACAGCAGGCCCAGTAAATCCCTAATGAATCATTATTAGGGCCCAAATAACTTTTTAAATTGATTTAGGGTCTTCTGATCACTTAAATATATTGCAGGCCCCTTTCTTTATTAAATAAACTAATTCAGCCCACCTATAGGATTGGACCTAAAAGACTAGCTTGGAAATAAAGACTTTATAAATTGTGACTGGGAGCAGTTCAATAACCTGCTCCTACCTCAGTAAATTTTAAGGATTTAATAGATATGTTAGGCTAGAGGTAACTACCTAACCCCTTCCCATAACAAATATTTACATACAATCACAATTCGTTACCCCCCAAATAGTTGTTCCCTATTAATTCCTTGTCATACGAGTGAATCAGCTAGAGTACTAGACTATCTTAGAACCCATTTAACTGTTGCTCCCATGGTCCTTACAAGGCTGTTAATCCCTCTTAAAGTATGTCTACAATACCATGTACCTCGACAATTATTCCTTAACCACCCAACCACAACTTAAGAATCACCCTCTACTGCTATATTTCTCAATTGTATCCTTTTGCACAACCTTAGTCCTTGTAGGACAGCCGTCGACTCAGATCTTGTAGAGCCCCTAAAGCTTATGGTACCTGAAAATAAGGACCAATACAGCCCCATAACCATCTCTAATTATAACTCCAATTCTCAAATTTCCAAGATTGCCCAAGGAGCAACAATCAAAATCAAGCTTCACTTGGCTTGCATTCGACGGCACCATTCCTTAAGATTCTGGTTCTAGCCAAAGATGAACACAACAACCTGTCAACCTCTTGTACTATCCTCCAATAGAGAATTGCTCAAAATTTTTCAAAGGCTTGACTCAATGTACTACTCTTATGGTGATGCTTTCAATAATGGCTCCCTTAGATAGCGACTTCTCATAAAATGTTTTTGTATTTCTCTCCTCCCAAATTGTCAAAAGAATAGCAGCCCTGGTGCATCTCCAAAGGATTTTTCCCTTTCTTTTACCTGGAAGGAGGTAAAAAAATAAATAAATAATACTCTTCATATCATTAGAAGGGGACAACCTGCTACCAAAAATGCAGCTGAAGTTACTTGTGACCCTCCAGCAGAAAGACTTTAACACCTTCGGGACGACTGGGCCCAGCCAAATGGATCTAACCGAGAAAGCTAACAGAGAGGAGAGGGAGATGCCCAGGACAGGAAAAGAAGCACAAGAGAAGATTTGTCCTGAAATGTAGATCTAAATAAAATTTGGGGTCACAGCAGAATTCTAAAGGGCCATAACCCAAGGTTGGTCCCAGCTGTCCAGGGTCTTAAGAGGGGTGGACTGGATACAGAACTAACCTTTGGCATTTTCTTGCATGAAGTGACTGCTCTTAGACTCAAACCTGCACTCTCATGCTTCTCAGCCTGAGATTTTACCCTTGAACAAAGCAAGGGTCCCAGCCCAGGATTTTCTTTAGGATGTATCCCATATCTGATCTGAATGTATATAAATCTCAGAATCTCAGATTGCTCTTTATTTGATCTGATATAGATCTAGATCAGATATGACAATGGCTTCCGTATCTGGATCAGGGCAAATCTGCTCCAGATCTCATCTAACCAGTATCAGCCCTACTCAGAATTAAATGATTTCCACCTAGAACCCATAACAGAATAACACCAATGAAATTATCTTAACCTTGCAACTTTTCTGAAGCACAACAATGTTTTGCACAAGTGGATTAGAGGTTACAGGATTCAGAATAAGATAATGTTACAAGCATAAAATAAACAAAGTGATCCTGTCCTTCATGTGCACTCTTTGTATAAAACCCATTTTTATCAATAGTGGATGGTCTTATCAATACATAAATGTGCAACTCCCCAAGAATTTCAATTTTTCTTATACTCATTGCTGTAGGAATTGGGTTCAAATATCAATCGACTCCCAAATAGGGATGCAAACGGATCAGATTGGATTCGAATCATGGTATATCTGAATTTGAATCCTATTGGTAAGTCAGATCTTCGGATCTGATATGATCCAACTTGTTTTCTTTAAGAAGTAATAAATTATTAAAAGAAAAATAAATATACCAATTTTTAAAAAAATACAAGTATTTTTTAATTATTTTCATCATATATATACATGTTTTTTATAAAAAAAAATAATATAACAAATTTATAAAAATACAATATAAATAATATATTTATAAATAAATAAATAACATATATATATATGTATTATATATATTTATATAAATAAATATATAACATATATCAGATCAGATAGGGGGTGTTCAAATCCAATCCATATGCACCCCTACTCCCAATGTATATAAAAGAGTGTGGTTTGTCCAATAAATTCCTACCTCTATATCCATCTCTGAGATGTTTGTTTTTTTCAAAACTCCGTGGACGTGTAAAAGAAAATGCTACCCTTGCTTGGACAATGACACAACTTTTACCAAAGTTCTATTTTTCTTCAATGGTTCATTTGTGTTTAAACATCTACTCCAGCTGCACTTAAGTTTTAATAGATGCCATTAGTTTGAAAACCATAGTAAAGATACATTTGCAAGGAAAGTTCAGTACAATTGCCCATGTTTTTTGTTCAAAAACTTAATTCATGCATTTCCCAAGTCTTTTAAAAAGGTGAACTTACCTCTATATTTCCTACATCCTCCATGGGCTGTCTACGGTTGTTATGGCCACCTGATGTATCTCCTACAGGTGATGATCCGCCAGCCTTTGTTCTCTGCCTCCCAGGGCTACTTGACATTGAACGTTGATGACGCCCTGGTTCCCCTGATTTCCTCGCTAAGGCAGCCTTAAGACCAGCAACCTGTAATAAAAGTTGAAATAGAACAAAACTCTGATTCAAGATGTATGAAATAAAAAAAGAGGTATTCTGGAAAGCATAATGCAAGAATAATCAAGAAAAGAGAGAATAAAACCTGTTGCTTGAGCTCATTGACATCTGCACCATCTTTGTTTACTCGTGCAGCACCGAGCTCAACCGTGGCAACCCGTTCAGCAAATTTAAGTGTGCTAATTGTTTCTCCGATGGCATCTGGCTCAGGACTTATATGAACAAACATTAACGTCTTGGCTTGCCCACCTAATTAGGGATAAGACCCAAGAATAAAATCAGAACAGATATAGAAAAGAAAACATAAAAGTAGGGAAGCCAGACAATACAGAATATCTGTTAAATTATACCAAGAGAATCTTGGAGAAGTTGTGTGAGTTTGCTATTCCTATAAGGAACATGCGAATTCTTCTGGGCAAGTGAAGCGATCACATCTCCTAGAGCAGAAAGAGATTTGTTGATATGTTGTGCCTCCTTTAGCCTATCTCCTATCACCTCAGCTTTGTCAACCCTCTCACTTCCTGCCAAATCAACTAAATGCATGCACCCTCGAATAGTAGTTCCAGATGTCAGTTCTGTCCCTTGAACATGAACTGTCAAGCAACTTCAAGTAATTTTGAAATAATAATCAGTATCTAAAAATAAACCTTGACCTTCAAGCAAACCAAGAGAGTTGCATACAATTAAACATACCTATGAGAGCGGCTACTACGATCATTGAGGGCTGTTGCACTCACTGCACGATTCCTATGTCCAAGATTCATCAGTTCAATAACATCAGTTGTTGATGCAACAGGCACAATATTTGCATCTGGTACACTGAGTCCATTTTGAGAACTTTTACGAATCTCTAATGTGTTCCAGGGTAAAGGAAATTCCAGCAATGGAGACGAGTCATTAAAGGAGAAAAGAAAATAATGAAATAATTAATGTTGTAAAGGATATTTTTTGTTAACACCATCAGTAGAAAGCAGGTCTCTGACTTGTTCATTGTAAATCTCCATCATTTGAACAGAAATAGCATAAGAGAAACTATCCTTTCTTTGTTCTGAGAGAAGAAATAAATCATTTAATGCTCTATAGTTTACACCTCTGCCTTCCTCTGTAAGCTCTTTGGGTCCAGTCTGGATAATACGTAATAGGTTGAAACAAATGTGATCAAACACTCCTCATAACCATGAAATCCATTGATAACACAAGGGAAAAAATAATTTATTATCCCAAGTAGAGATGCAAATTAGCTAGCTTATTGAAGATTTTTACTGCATTGGGCCCTAACTCAGGCCCTTTAAAAAAATTAACAAATGCTCAACCGAGGCCTGCCCAAGTGGCATCCTTAATTTGAAGGAGAGAACAGTCTACTAGACTAGTTTGGAAAATAGAGTTACACATGGGCAGTTGGAAACAAAAAAGTGCTTCACATTTCACAATATAACCAGCAATTAATATGGAAAGTTTAAAAAATAATGTCCTGTGCTACTCCCACATGACAATAGAAAGACATAATTCACAGGCAGTTGTTTTAAACAAAAAAAAAGTGGCACTTGAACATCTGGTGTTACATAGGAAGTGTTGTCAATCTGTAGGCTGTCAGATTGGATGGATGGTCTGGTATTGCCACATCATTCATCCATTTGGAAGAAAGATGGAGGTTTGTCAAGCAAAAAAAGATATGAAAGATGTGTTCACAAGAGCTTTGGATATGTGTGTGTGGTTACTTTGTGCATCCCTTTCCACAAATGCACATAGAGAGTGTCTGTGTGTGTGGAGAGAGAGAGAGAGAGAGAGAGAGAGAAAGAGAGAGAGAGATTAAAATGTGTTACCATAGTGTAAGTTTTCCCAGATCCTGTTTGACCATATGCGAATATACAAACATTGTAACCATCAAGGACAGAACGAATCAAAGGCTGGGTATCTGAAAAGACCTCCTCTGCAATAAAGCAAAAAAGAAGTAGTGATCAAGAGAAATTCCACCAACAGGATATTTTAAGAGAAATAAAAAGAATGAGAACCTTAGCGACCTTGGGATGCAAATGGACCAAAAACTTTGTTGAAATTGAATGATCTACGCCCTTCTTTCCCATATTTTGAAGGGGTGATGATTGTAATGTTCCCTTCTTCTATGTTATCCACCACGCTCATACTATTATTCTGACCGGGTAAGAAGGGTCTGACTCGGCAATAGACCCTAATGCTTCCTAATCATAAATGAAACAAGATTAGTAAATTTCAATACAAGATCAGTGTACATGTAAACAAATCAATAGACAATTACTAGGAGCAACATTACCTTTAAGATCTTGCAATTGATTATATAGCTTCCGGTTTTCTTCAAGAACTTTATGGTAACGAGAAGCTGCATGAGCTAAATTGTGTATGTACTTACCTATAATTGAAATCAATAGCTCGGGATGAGTAGAAAAAGGAAATCTATAGTTTCCAAGGCACTTAAACAAATCCTAAAAATATTCCTTGAGTTTCTTACCAAGATTGGTAAACTCCTCACTATATTTCACCTGCATAACCTGCATACCCACTCTTGTAGTTTCAAGTGTCTGCCTCAGTTCCTGTAGCAATTCAAACTATATGTTTTAATGCGCTTATCTTGTGTGTGTGTGTGTGTCTCTTTGATGAATTGCACTTATCTTGTATGTTACAGATTAATAACCAAATAAACAAAAACTAGATAAAATTAATTCCTGTCAAGCAATACCTTAATGTCTCTTTGTTGTTGGTCAAGGAGAACTTGTTGCTTCACAAGCCTACCTTTAGGTTTCTCATCATCTTGGTATTTTTCATTAGAGAACTTGTCTTTCTTCAAATTTACAATACTTTCATCTTCCACCTTCATCTTCTATTAATAAGAAAAGATGTCAAACAATTGTATTCAAGATCCATGTAGCAAGTTCTAAAATTATAAAAATTTAGTCAACTGCATCCAAACTGCAAAATGATTAATATGTGGGTCCTTTTTCTTGGATTTTAAACTTCAAGGATGGGTTTAAAAAATTAGGATCAAGGGTATACCTTCCCAGCTCCCATAGAAATTCAGAACTATATTCAGTGCACTTATCTTGCATGTTACAGATTAAATAACCAAATAAATTAAAATCTAGAGGAAATTAATTGCTGCTAAACAAATACCTCAATGTCTCTTTCTTTTTGGTCAAGGAGAACTTGTTGTTTCACAATACTACTTTCCGATTCCTTGTCATCTTCAGATTTTTCATCAGAAAACTCGTCTTTCATCATATTAATAATGCTTTCATCTTCCAGCTTCATCTTCTATCAATGAGAGAAGATGTCAAACAATTATATTCAAGATCTACACAGCAAGTTATAGAAATTATAAAATTCTAGCCAAATACATCCCAAATACAATACAATCAACATGTAGAAATACTGATTAAAAAAAAATCAACATGTAGAAATACTGATTAAAAAAAAATCAACATGTAGAAATCCTTTTTCTTGGATTTTAAACTTCAAGGATGAGTAAAATAAAGATTAAGGGTATACCTTCATTTCACCAGAAGAAGTTTTCAGAAGAGACCTGCTGTCATCAGAATTTGCCACATCCTTAAGAGTCGTTTTCATCTGTTGGATTATAAAATATAAAATCAGATAAGACAATGTAGGATTCTGAATATTCTGTCAAACCCATGGTTGTCAATGGTAGTCTAACCAAAAAAATACACAATAAAAACAGTCATGCTTTATCCTCTACAATTACAAATTTGAGAAAGAATAAAATTTTTCATGGGAATTTAATTCATTCAGCAAACTGGAATACCATGTGATGTAATACTGGACAAATAAACAGAAGTTTTGTCCTCTACAGTCATATATAGAAGATAGAGAAAAGGATTTTGAGGGATTTTACTTTATTCATCAAAATGAACTACCATGTCACATAATACCAGAAACCAGACAAATAAATGAAGCTTACCAGCTCATTTTGACTTGCAAGACGACATTCAAACTCCTCAACAACCTTGCTTAGCATGGACTCCACCAGCTTCAATGAACAAAATAGTATTATGTACTCTTCAAAACTAACCAAAACAACTAGAAAAAAGAATTAAACAAAATAATGTAATGATGACCAAAGAAACATCAAGCCTAAACAGAACAATAGGAAGCAGCCAACCTTACCTGCATTGTGAACTTGGGATCCACGTAGGAAGAGACTCCAGATCTGCTACAAACAAGGCATGTAAAATTAGGATACGTAACCCAATCAAGAGTGGACACAACAGTGATCCATACAACTGGTACCTCTACGGATCACTGGTATGTTCACACTTGATTTGGTTACATGGTCTATTGTACAGTTCTTGTTTATAGCAGATCCCACCCATAGAAAGATTGGGATTTGGGATACATGGCATGGCACCCAAAGAGGCAATCTAGTAGGCCCATGTTCTTTATATATTTTTTTTAAAACAAATTGATCTATACCCCAACCATCCAAAAGAATGTAATAAATTAGATGCTTATAATCATAATTTTCCAAATGTCCTATAACTTCTAAATGGGATGCACAGAATGTAGATATTGAATCCTACACATGTGTATAAATTTGCATTGTGTATCACATCAAAATCTGCCATGTGTTCATATTCCTAAATTTCCTAAAATCTCAAATCTCACAGTGCATATGACATAAGAATATCTGAAAAAACTTGGATGTGGTGCAAAGAATGTCAAATGCACAGAAAATGTTTGATTAAGACAAACACAAGTCTTACCATTGGAACTTCTTCAGGCTTCTTATCTGAAAAAACTGAACGTACAAGCATATTTAAAGAACGTGTTGTATTCTGTAACCAAGATTACAAATGGTGATTTACAATCAGTACTTTGATTTACATATAAAATCAAGCATTGAATGAACTTAGCTTACCAACCATTTCAGTATGATCATTTGCTGGATCACCATTTTGGTCAGTGGAGAGACCATCCAGAGACCTATCGTTAATTGATAGGTTCTTTGAAAATGAGTTAGTGAAAGGCTCTGAATTTTTCCTTAGAAAACTTTTTCCATAGGTGGTGGAATTTCCACCATATTTCCACTGACCATTTCCACCTGCTTCTTTCCAATCGCTGTAGGATTTGAGTGCTAGAATACAGTCTACAATCCTTGCAGATTTTCCCCCCTAAAGTTCAAAAGAACAATAATGAAAAAAATGAATGTCAAAACAAATATCTCACTTTCGTTCCATGTTGTAAAGATGTGATTTTGTTTATATAATGAAATAAATAGAAATTAAAAATTAAAAATAATGATATATCATTTATGTTTCCCCTCGTATTTTCAATTTTTACAACACTCACTTGATTGAGATCAGATGCCTCAAAGGTTGGAAGGCCCATCTCCTGCACAGCAACAAGGAAATTCCTCACATTTTCGAAGTATTGAAATGCTGATAAGGCTGCTCCATCAGGGATAAGAACTAAATCACAAGGACTTTCAACCACCTGAAAAAATACTTAGAAAACCAGAATGGATAAGAACATTACTCCAATCCATAAAGGATGGAACCAAAGACACCTTGTTATCAAATCCCCCACCTTCGACACCGCACCAGGTTGAACCTTATTGAGAGCATTGCAAAGTATTATTCCACTTCTCAATCCAAGTCTGAATTCTTCCTCCGATGGTTCAGCTGGCAAATCTTTACCCCCAACTGCTCCAACTGTCTTTTGCAGCCACCCAGCTGCCTCATACCTTCTCAATGCTGTAAAAGTATCCAAGTTTTCCATTTTCAGATTTTCTAATTTAATTCAAGGTTTGAAAAGGATAATAAGAGAATAGTTGAAGTGTAATGGCTCAGAAGGTGAAATATAAGCCTCAAAAAAAAATTTAAAATGACTAATTTGAAGTTTATAAATAATGAAAAGAATGTATGATAAAATAAGATAGAATGACGGAACTTACAAAGCATTCATAAAATAGAAGTCTATTGTGTAATAAATTCTAGGCTTTTAGCATTTAACAAAATAATAACTAATCAAATAACAATCATACACCTTTTATATTTCAAGTTTCAAAATCCAAATTTATCAATTTGTTCAAATTACCAAATAATATGTTTTAGGTTATCAAAAATCCCCACCAACAAAATTTCTATCACTAATTAGATCTTCCAATGAATCATCCATATAATTGATACTAGATTTTTGAGAGGCAAAAGTTGAGTACTAGAATGTAAATAGTATTTTCTTGTGGAGAAAATAAAAGAAAAATGACAAATTTATGATGCTATATTTCTAGTCACCCAAAAGCATAGAATATTAAAAAAAATTATTTAACCAAGAATGAAGAGAGAATGATGAAGGCTGTTTTTGGCCCACTTATAAAATCCAAATTTTTCAAGTTGTTCAAATTACCAATCATATGTTTTAGGTTATCAAAAATCACCACCAACAAAGTCTCTATCACTAACTAGATCTTCCAATGAATCATCCATATATTTGATACTAGATTTTTGAGAGGCAAAAGTTGAGTACTAGAATGTAAATAGTATTTTCTTGTGGAGAAAATAAAAAAAAAAAAAGACAAACTTATTATGTTATATTTCTAGTCACCCAAAAGCATAGAATATTAAAAAAAAAAACACTTTATTTGACCAAGAATGAAGAGAGAATAGTGAAGGCTTTTTTTTGGCCCACTCTTATAAAACCCTAAGAGAAACTAGGAATTCTATTTGCTCTATTAGCTTTTCATTTAGGGCATATTCGTTGTTCGGTAAGTCATTTACCTGGGTAAGTGTTCCAAACACGGGTAAATGCATTTATTTGGGTAAGTGATACCCAGTGGAAAATCAATTTACCATGGGACCTACAACTACCAATAAGTTGATCAATTTTCCTGTTGACCAACTTACCCCTTCCACTTACAAAAAAACGAGCATACCCTTAATCTTTTTATTTGGCTCATAATTACCAAAGTGTCCTTCCCATACATTTTAAACTTAAGAAAAAAAGGATAGGAGTATGATACCAGAAAAACTTGTAACTAATCAACTAGTATTGTAAGAGTGGTAACCAATCAAGTGGTATTTATCAAAATCGGCGAGAATATTTTGATTGGTCAAAACCTTTCCACTATCATGTCTTTCTAGCACCTAGATTTTTCCCATGAAAAAAAAACATGGGGTTCAACTAAGAAACTTGTAAAACTTGTAGCCAATGAAACCGGTATCATAAAAGTGGTAACAAATTAAGTGGTACTTATCAAAATTCATGACTACATAGACATCTGATAATAGATAAAGGGATTTTCTCTTAGACACTTGGCAACCTAATTTTTCAAGAAACAACATCTCAAAAGTGGTTCTTCCCACTTTCAAATAAAAGTCTATCCACTATCAAAAAAGTGAGGTGGGTAACTCCACTCTCAAAATAGTTATCTTTAAAGACACATGGCTTCATATATACATAAAAAAATCAAATAATATATTAACCTAAATTTAGAACATAGAAAATGGGTGTCAAATTTGTTAGAATACATAAATAAAAAAATCACAATATTAGCCTCGTACTTAGTACGGGGGTCATTCTCTATTAGATATAATTCTCAAAGTGATATAATTATCAAATAAAATTAAAAAAACAAAAGGGCATATACAGTGAATTTCCCTATACTCAGTAAGAGCTCATTCACTATTAATAATTTATATTAATAACTAACAATTGATATTCACAAAAATTAGTAAAATTTCATACATCACTGTGAATTTCCCGTACTTTTTGTTGAAGCCAATTTTCTCGTACTTAGTACGGGGTCATTTGAGTAGGGATCATTTGTAATTGTGCATTTGCATTTTCAATTTAAAAAACTTGAAATAGTTCATATTAGTGGCCCCGTATTCAATATGGGGGGTCATTCCTACTATATATATCTATATCTAATGTAATTTTTTATTTTGTTTTTATTGTTAATTGGATGCAAATTGTAAAATCAAAATCTAAATACATAAACACCTCATCAAAATATGTGATAATTGGACTGAGTTGTGAAGTTCCAAGTATCATTGATAGACCTACCTGCTTCGCTAGATTATTCTTTTTGTAATGTTTTATCTTTTTGGTGTTTTTTTTTGTTCATTTATCAAAAAAATGTAAGATTTAAATAGAGGGGAATGATGTGAACAGTAGTAATTCAATTTACAATTTAAATGTCACAATTAAATAGGGACTAAATCCAAAAATGAGTATTTTAGTCAAAAGAAAGTTCCACAATCTTTTTCATATTTTTAATAGTAGTGTAAATATAGAATTATAGATGTGTTCAATTTTTTCTTTCTTTTTTTGTATTTCTGTGTATAGAAATAATTTTGATATATCACACTTACATTTTGTTTAATATGATATTATACATGTGCCTGAATGTTGTTTCTTTTTGCAAAATTTATGTATTTTTATATTTTATTAATTTTTATTATTTATTTATGACATTAAATGTTAACACATTTGACCCAAAAATTGAATTAATGATTTTTACCAAACAATAAGATAATTTCATTTTTTGTCAGTTTTAAATTATGTATTTCATTTTCATTATCAATAAAAATAATTATTGTTTATTACACTTATTGTTTTAATTTGATTAATAAAAATGTCAAAAATGTGTAGTTTTTTCTACATTTTTGTAATTTTCTAAATTTATTCCTATTTAAAAAATTTTATTACCTAACTATGACTTTATAGGTTGATCAATTTGATTTAGATGATTGAATTTCTTAGCCACCACTTGGACAAAGAATGGTTTTGTTTTTTGAGTCAGTTTTAAAATAATTGGGTTTATGTTTTAAAAATATTGACATAGATCTAATTAGTAGCATTTATTAGTAAAAAATAACTTAAATATAGGATTTAATAAGAGAAAATGAGAGTTAATAATTTAAGTATAAGACTTAATGAGAGGGGATTAAATGAGGTCGGAAATAATAATTGAAGTTACATTTTCAAGGCATTTTAGTAGCCATAAGAGTTGACATTAAAGCTGTAATAAAATGAGTTTTATACCCTTTCTCAAACAAAGAGGGTAATTTTAGTCCAAAAAAAAAGTTTCACATTGCATTCCCAATTTTGTATATACGTTTTCGGGGCGCGCTCATGCATTTGAGGCTCGTGGCTTACGCCTCTATTTCACAAAGTCAGTCTTGAGCCTTGAGGCAAAGTAATCTCGATTTTAAACAAGTGAAGAAAATACACATTTAGCTGTAACTAGAAGTTCAAACCAGAAAAAAATCGTGGGATCCTTGTTGAGAAAAGCAACAAAAAAAAAAACAGACGAAGAAATTAGATAAATATCAAAACAATGCAAAAAAATTCCTCCACCGGAATAAAAATAAAAATATTTAATAAGCTTTGTATAACTTTAAACTTTCAAACAATAAACCTTTAAAAAAAACATAAAGAACATGAATTCATATTGAAAATCATGATCGTGTGAGTTTAAACGTAAAAAGCGCATGATACACGAAAATGAAAAAGAGAGTGAATCCTAGAAAACCAATACAAAAAGGTAAATTGATCAATAAGAAGAACGATGCTACCTGCTTCGTCAGCCTTCCTTGAAGCCAAATCAATGCCTCTCTTTCGAGTTCCATGTTGTCGGAGGACGTCCTCCACCACAGAATGCACAGAAAATGGAAAGATGCCCTCTGTCGCCATTGCAGTGCCAGAAGCAAGCTATACCTCTCACAACCAAATTCAAATGAATACCATTAACACTCCGATTTTACAGGAAAAATAAAAGGTCCAGCCAAACGCCAACTACTCTTGTTTCACTTTTACAATAATGCGACAAAATGCTTATGAATTAAAACTCCTCCCCAGAAATGGAGTGAGAAATCCAAGTCATTCAACAGAAAGAGGTCAAGAAAGCAGTTGCAGAGATAGAAAAGAGAAAGGCAGAGAGAGATAAGAAAGAGAAAGAAAAATGCATAGAAATGCCCGTTGTTGTTATTTCGATTCTTTCTTCCTTTCTTTCTATACTCCCTCCGCCATAAGTTCCACCCTTGCTCCCTCGGTCCCTCCCTCCCCCCTCTCTCTCTCTCTCCCTCTCTCTCTCTCTCTCTCTCCCTTTCGAAGCTCTCAGCTTTCTATCGTTCTAATTCTAATATGGCTCTCCAAAGAAACACCAAACCTCGTTCCGAGCCTCCCGGCTCGGCAACCTAATGGTTTCTATTCTCCGCCCGTGCGAAAAAAATTGAAACAAAGCCTAAATGGTTCCGCACTGCCTTCTTTTTTAGTTAAAACACGATTAATATTTTTTTTATTTTTAGCGGTTAAAGTTATATCTTATATGTTCAATCCATTTATAATTACATCAGATATAGATTTATGCTTATTCAAATTCGATATATGTTCAGTGTTCACATACACTAAAAATTTATATTTTATATATTAGTAAAGTTAGACTTGAACGTTGTATTTAAATTTTATATAAATAATTTTTAATTTATTTTATTCACAAAATATAATATTAAAATTATTTTTATTCATTTATTAATAATATATAATATTTAACTTTTTTATACTATCCAATATCCAATTGCAAACTAACGATGCAAAAATATGGTGTAGTCATATCAAATTAAATCATCCTTAGTTTATTTTGTACTCCTCATTTGAAAGTATAAAAGTATAAAATTACGAAAAATACGATATAGTATTTTTATTATATATTTTGTATTTCTGATTTTATGCTTTTTAAGAGTATAAAAACTCCAATAGCACAAAATCGGCTTTTTATACTTTTTTGGATTAATAACAGATAAGGGCAACTTTTTGTGCTTAATAAAAAAAATACTATTGTTATATAATAACCAAAATGGAGTATCTTTTTTTTGGGAAAATATTAGGGCAATGTCACTACCAACCCACCCTCTAATTGGGTGCTTGATCTCCTTCTACAAGAACTGTTATCGTCTCTTGGATTGGTACACGGACCTCTTCACGGAATCCTTGATGCAGACAATCGTGGTACGCCATTTCGATGCAAGATGGACAGTCGTCATGGCGAACCCTTCACCGACATCTTGAGAGACTTGCTCGGTTGCGGTATATTCAACTTTTTCATTTGGCGCACTCAGCGCAAGTTAGCAAGCCATGAGTTCAGTACCATGTCGCTGCGAGAATTCGTCGGGAGGACGTTGGAGGAAGTAGTGACAAATCGCTTGACGCCAGTACTTGCATCTGTAATGGAAACCAGCCAAGTAGTAGACCTACAGGACTTGTTAAGGAGGTTCGCCTTCAACATGGTGTGCATGGTGTCACTGGGAATTGAATCGATCCTGGTTGCTTGGATTCTTTGCTTCACGTATCAGTTCTGGTCGGAGCTTTCAACATAGCCTCTGAGATAAGCATCAGGCGTGCATCCGCTCCCGTCTTCGCTATTGAAGATTAAATGAGTATTGTGTCTTGGGTCTGAGCGGCGCCTCAAGTTCCCAGTGTTTCAAGCCGGACGCAAGGTGTGACTGAGGAAAGAGATGTCCTAGTACGTGATGGACTCGTTGCTGAAGCAGTTTGAGTTCAAACCGATTGGATTGGAGGAGCTTGCTTTTGTTCTACTCTTGATGGCACACATGGCCGATAGATTGAAGGTCCTAGTCCGGCTGAGAGGTCATCACTCGACTTAGAGTTATGGATGATAAACGTTAGCAGAAAAGTCACCCAAGACGAATGCCCTTAAATGATTTTTTTTCAGAAAAAGATATCTCATTTTGATTATTATATAAAAATTATTATTTTTATTGATATTAAGGGCAAAAATTTGCTCATAACGGTTAGAAACCCTACGTTTTTTTTCTCATCCCTAGTAGTGGATCCGAGAAGATCCAAATTGAACGCGAAAATTTAATTCTCTCCAAAGGGATCGATAAGAAAGTTGGATTAAGGATTTGATGTACAAAATTTGAAGAAAAAAAGCTTAGTGTACTTAATAAATAGAAGGAACGCTGGAAGATCTCGGAAATGCACCAATAGTGGAAAGGAAGGAATTAGAAGCCATTGTAACAGGAAGCGTTGATAATGAAGAAGATGAGGTGGAATCGGAGACAAATGTTGCAGATTTGTTGACTGAAGGGTCCCCGGACTTTGAAATATTCAGAAGAAAGCGACAAAGAGGTAAATGCACAAGTGGATTGCGATTTGAGAGTGGCAAAGACTTTGGGCCTATTCTTCCTAGGACTAGGAGGACAGGGCTTCGCGAGAGGAAGAAATCTGTGAGGAAAGGTTAAGGGCTGTGAATTCTCCTTCTGATGAAGAGAGGGAGAGTAATGTGTCCTTCCCTGGATGAAAATAGACGAAGGCTTTAATTTGGGTGGCTTGCCGGTAGAAAGTTAAGAAAATTGGCAGAGGGAGGTCAAGCAAAAGCAAGTAAAGTTAAAATTTCCGACCGCCTTCATGGTGATCATTCGGTTTATTTTTGTTAAAATCCAAATTGAATAAATCAAAATTTTAAAAATTAAACTAAAAAAACTAAAACTGAATTATATAAAACCGAAATAACCGAAATCAAAATTTTCAGTTTGTTTTTTTTTTTAATTTGATTAAAACCGAAATCTAATAACATATACTTTATTATATATATTATAACATATAATATATATTATATGTTATAAAATATATATATTATGAAATCAAATTTTATTATAGGGTAAATTACAAAGACCTCCTGTACTTTGTTTTGCGACAAAGACCCCCCCTGTACTATGACCGTGAGACAAAGACCCCCTTCCGTTAGCTTTCCGTTGAAATCCGCCGTTATAATATTTTTTAATCCCCATAATATCCTTGTAACTGTTCATCTTCCCCGACCTCACGACACGAACAACAGCGGTCGTAATCCCTTCTACCTTATATTCCTTCACATTTCTCTCTCTCCTACGATTTCTCTTCTTCTCCCTTCCCCTTTTTCTCCTCCCCTTTCTTCTTCTTGCTTTCCTCTCTTTCCATTCCTCTTGGCCATAACCGCTACAACTCGTTGGAAAGAAAAAAAAGAAACCAATTACATTCACCATGTAACCATGTTTCTAACATCTACCATAGGTTCGATAAGAAAATTTTAGTTTTTCCTCATGATGCTTGTTTTCGTTTCTCTTTCCTCCTTTATTTATTTATTTTATAAATTCTTCATCCTATCGGAGGCCAGCAAAGAGGAGAGGAGGAGGAGGGGAGAGAGAGAGAGAGAGAGAGTGAGAGAGGAAAATCTACTAATTATTCAAGAACCCAGATAGTTAAATCAGAGAATGAACAATTATAGAAAAACAGAAGATAATAAAGCAACCAAGTATCACTGGAACTCGTAACAGATGACGAGTTAACAAGAGCATGAAATTACACCTGCACTGCCTGGTCAAGAGGGGTTGCAGTCCCATGAAATTACACATGTACTTTGTCGCAAAACAAAGTACAGGGGGGTCTTTGTCACAAACCCCATAATACAGGGGTTCTTTGTAATTTACCCTTTATTATATTATATTAATATATAAATATATACTATATTATGTATTATATGTAACATATTATATACTATATCTTACATATTATATATTATATATTACATATAATAATAGAAAGTTCGATTAATCAAATTTTTAATTCTAAAAATCAAAACCGAAACCTGAATTAGTCAAAAACCGAATTAACCAAAAACTAGAAAGACCGAACTGAACAAATCGAAACCAAAATTTTCAATTCGATTTCTCAATTTTAACCGAATAGTGCTCACCCCACCCTCTCTCTCTCCCTCCCTTCCTTTTTCAACTTCAGCCACTTTCACAATTTCACCTTCATCGACCGCACAATTGCTTTCTCTCCAAGTGAACTACGTCAAATAGACATTTAGGTGGCATTTGGTAGCGTGTATATATCGTGGATGGGACCGTTTTGGTCCTGTCTACAGTAAGATATGGCATTCTGCTATGTGTGGACGGTCCCCGTCCAAAAAATAGTGTCAATAGGGACAAGCCACACCCCAATTTATCGTCCATAGTATTTTCTTGTGGATGGTCCACGCTATAGTGTGGACAGTTTGTGGAAATGTTTCAGTGTAACACACCTGTGTTACATTAGTCCAAGTACTCTCATTTTATTTAATCTTTTAATAATTTTTAATTTTTAATATTTTATAAATAAAATAAAAATTTTTAATGTTAATTTTAGCATAAGTCCAAAAGTTCTCCTTCTCAACTCTTTTTTCAATATTTAAATATTAATTTTTTAATATTTTTATCAATAAAATAATATTGTTTAATATTTAAAATAATATTTTTTCAATTATTTAAAAAAATGCAATTGTTGTCTACATATTGATGCATTTTTTTTTCAATTTATTTACCATATAAAATGCAAAAATTAGACATTTATGATCAACTATATAGACCTCTCATAAAATGTATATGAAATACATGGAATCAAAAAGTATGGTGTTGACCAGTCTACAGTCACCATAAGTGTGGACTGGTCCAATCCACATGATATATATAAAGTTCAAAACAACTATAGATTGGTTTCTACCACAAGATGTATTATAAACCACTTAACACCCACTAATTTCTAATTCACACTACAAAACAGCCTCGTGAAATTCCAAATGACTTGACATGAACTCGTCCGATTGTTATTTTTGGGACCTGTTTCTTTATCTAGTCATTCTATAGGATTGGGGCATTGGACTTTATTTCAGTTGGTTTTTGTTTGGGCAGTTGGGCTGGTGTTGCCTCGGTTATGGGTGCCTCGTGTCATTAGCATTAGAATCTGATATATAAGAAAAAGGAGAAATAGCGTCTCATGGAACATAAAACGTCAACGGGAAAGAAAAAGTAAAAACCGGTAACTCTCATATGTTGTAATTTCCTAATAAAAGGGATGGGGAAAAGGAGATAACAAAAAAAAAAAAAAAATTCTGAGGTGGCAATTTATGAGATTTAAGAAAGGAATGAAGATATAAAAGCCTAATAGATTGGAACAAAAATTCTACCGAATACCGATGGTGGAATGAGAGATTGGTTTTCAATGTGCATGGTG